CTCGTAGAGGATTGGCCAGCCAATGCAGGTGAAGCTCACAGTGTCGAACTGCTCCAGAGTCCAGACAGCGGCGCTGCGTTTTACTGCACTTCTCTGCATGACCCTAAATATCGTCACGGTCAGGGGCGCGGGAACTACTTTCCGACTGGGGGGGGGGGGGCACACCATAATAGAGATCAACTGTAGTATTTAGTGGCCTTATGTCACCCGTCAGTGCTGCCGTCTGGCGGGTGACCTTGGAGGGCCGAGCGGCCAGGGTCAGGGACGAGGGCAGTCTTGGTGCGGAGCTCGCGGTGGACGCTCGGCTGCGGTGTTGTTGTGCGTTATGTCGTTTTATTAATAACCGTCTTGACTTCGTGTGTTCTGCCAATACACGGCAAGACAGTACATCAACCTAGGGCCTACCCCCAAATCTAGTTTTCTCACCGGTTTTAGGCCACTTATTTTTCATCCCTCGGCTTTTTCAACAAACAAGAAAACATTTGCAAAAAAAGTGTGGTATTCCGTCTCAAAGCTGTGGGGGCACCGCCCCCACGGCCCCAGAGTTGGGGGGGGGGCAAGCTGCCCCCACTGCCCCCCCCAGCCGGCTCCCGCGCCTATGGTCACGGTCATAACTGCAGTCGCGGGTCTGTCTTCACATTGTCCAAAGTGTCGATGGTCAGACGCACCATACATTTCCAGAGTCGCTAGAGATTAATCCAGTCCCTGTCTGTCTGTGTCAGACCCTCTAGCAGCGACTCTTGCATCATCTGCATCAGGCTGGTCGTGGTGTGACCTACAACAACTGTTGCTTCAATTGCTAGAATGGCAATCTTAGAATCCTTCAATCCTACCACGGCAAAAATGAACTCCAGTGATGACACAAACACAGCCTCGGCTTTTGTCAGATTCTTGCATTGTACGCTAACTAAGTAAATACAGCCTAAATCTCAGCGCTTGCCACTTACAGACAGTCGATTGCTGTAAGCGTTCCATTTGATGATACCCCTCGATTAGGTACTAACTAGTCCTGATATTGGCGCTCGCTTATAACCATAGGTGGGCACCGTTCCCCAAAATTGTAACTTCGTTACTCGTTCCTCCGTTCCCTCAAAACGTGACTTCCGTTACTCGTTCCTCCGTTCCTCTGTATATAATGTAACGGAAGTTCTTTTAGTCCGTTACTCCGTTACAGCAAAATAAAAAACGTTAAAATGTTGGGTATTTCAAACATTTTTGAGACCATTCTGACACAAACTAAACCCCGAGAAAGCGGAATGCCCACCAAATCTACCAAGACAGTGGGCACTGATTGGACACTAAACCTTGAAACGTCTGGTGGTACTGATGCGCATCACTTGTTCCCTGCCAGATGCCGGTTGCACTTCACGAACACTAGACGTTCCAGGTTGGCATCTGAGAGCATAGGCGGCGGAACGGGGGGGGGGGGGGGGCACCGGCGCACCGTGCCCCCTTTGATTTTGGCATTTTAACATTAGCCCTATGTGCGTTGCATGGAAAGAATGGGACAAAAAGTCGGCAGTGCCCCCCCCCCCCTCTCCCTTAATTGAAGATGTTCCGCTGCCACTTTCTGAGAGGGTAGCCCTTTTTGCACGTAGCACATCTTTTCCCATTGAGAACATGCGCTCTACTGAGGCGCTTGAAGGGACGCCCGTGTTGAACTTTGCGAACACATACTGCAACGCCGGCTCATTGCGGAAGGCCAGTACACTGTACACTGAGGCCATCTTCCGTCTTCAAGTCAGGGCTGCTCAATAATCCACTATTCCGCTGCTGCATTAATGTCTGTGGGTTAGCTGAAAGATCAACCCGCTCGGACAACGAAAAGTAACGGAGGAACGAAGGAACGGACTAAACTGTTAACTTGTAACGGAGGAACGAAAAACCAATGTAACGGAAGTTACTTGGTCCGTTACCCTTTTTAAAATGTAACGAGTCCGTTCCTCCGTTCCTAAAAATTGTAACGGCGTTCCGGAACGGAGGAACGGAGGAACGGATCGTGCCCACCTATGCTTATAACTTGACCAAAGACATCTCCCTACCTACCAGTGAGTTGCACACCATGTGTAAAATTGATGTGGGAATAGTCACGCAAAAATTTCGGGGCGCTACGCACCGCGGTTTTTCCGTTATTCACGAAAAATCTCAGGAGGCAGATATCCGATCCCACGTTGGTGCGCGATTTAACGCTCTTTTTACTCTTTATTGTTGGAAGAATTTACGAGTAGAACAGAAGTTTACCGTGGTCACATTGCAATATGAAGAGTAAACTCAAAACTGCATTAACATTTGGCAATGAAGTGTCAGAAATGATCCAAATGACGTGTACGGTCAGACTTGATAACCATGCCCCCCCCCCCCAGAAGCGGCGGAACACATTCAATTAGGGGGGGGGGCACCAGTAGCGGCGGAATACCTTCATCTGATGAAGCCTGATGAAGAAGGGGGGGGGGCACTGTCGACTTCAGGTCCCATTCTTTCCATGCAACGCCCATAGGGCTAATGTTAAAATGCCAAAAGCAAAGGGGGGCACGGTGCCCAGGTGCCCTCCCCGTTCCGCCGCCTATGGGGGGGGGGGGGGCAGTGGGCACTGCCGACTTTTGGTCCCATTCCTTCCATGCAACGCCCACAGAGCTAATGTTAACCCGCGCCCCAGTGGCGGTCTCAGCCAACTTCGCCGTAGTGGGGGGGGGGGGGGGCATATGTTACCACCCACCTCTAACTCAAAAACTAAGAGTGATAGAAAGACGCGGTAAAAAGCAGTCGATAGCTCTCACTGCGTACGTACGTTTGAAAGTATTTCGGTCATTTTTCATCTTAGAGCAATATTGGGGCCACCAGAGGTCATCAAAGGTCAAAATTTGCCAATGGTCATTATATTTTTCAGAAAACATGCCGTTATCTCAGGAACTATAGGTAGCTAGAAAAACGAATGGAAAAGCAATCGATAGCTCTTATTCTTCTTTTGATAAGGTCCTTATCAAAATTGACCTCAGGTCAACGGTTTAGCCTCCAGAGGGCAAAAACTCCAAAATTAGCTGTTTTTACGAAAAGTGTTTTTCGACAATAACTTTCGACTTCAAAAAGCCACGACCTTTCTATTGCCAGAATCGTGCTCCTCTCGCCGAGACGCGTCGAATGAACTATAATTTGACCTTGAAAGGTCAACTTGAAAATTTGACCTCAGGTTAAGGTCATGACCTGACCGGAAAAGGTCACGTTGCATATCAGTCGATGCGTCTCGGCAAGACAAACACAATGAGACCGTCCCCAGCGTTTTATCTCTTTCCAATCGCGAGTTATTGGCAAAAAGCTGTTTGTTGCCTCAAATGACCTCGGATGACCTTTCTAGAGGCTATCAGCAAAAATGACACCGTGGTGACACCGTGGTCATCACGAGTGGTCCAAATCATTGTGTTTCTGAAATATTTGGACTGTTCCTATGCGTACACACGGATCTAGAGGCATTTTCATTTTTCTCCATTGACTTGTAATGGAAAGGTCACGCCACTGACCTGACCTTAGGTCACGGATATAAAAATCCGAGATATACAAATTGTAGGCGCCCATAACATCATGCAATCCACCAAGTTTAAAACCTTTCTGACAAACACAGTGCAGGCTGGACATGATTGCAAACTTTTTTAGGCTTGGTCAGTTAACTTGACCTGGTGACCTGACCTGACATGACCTGGGGTCAAAAATTTCACACGTTGTCCAAAATTGATGTACCAAAAGCTACCCCAAGCGGCGCGGCGCTACGCGCCGCGGTTTTTTATTCACACGCAAAAAACGCGACAGGGTGGTAACATATGCCCCCCCTGGGGCGAAGGTTAAAATTCCCAAATCAAAGGGGGGCACGGTGCCCCAGTGCCCTCCCCGTTCCACCGCCTATGTCCCCCCCACACTCGACTTGAAAGTCGTTCCTACGCCACTGAGGCTTCATCAGATGCGCTTGACTTCCTTACAATATACCTTCTTGTATTTAGTGGTCAAAGCTTACTAGCAATGCGGCTTTTGCGCCGCATATCACCGCAAATGCCGGATGCATCACATGTTTTGAAAACTGTTGTTTAGTTACTAGAAAATAATGCAAAAATTACTGCAGAAATCTTGCTCGAACGTCATTGTAATATTGCCCAGGCCCATGTCGTCCCCTATCTCCCTGTGTGTCCAGGTGCACAGATGACGTCACACGAAGGGGCGGAGTCGGGGGCGGAGCCTGGCGCAACGGCCGCCATATTTGAATTTGTTTTATTAGAGTGTATTCTATATTATGGGTTTCAGTCAATTGTTATCGATAGTTTTATGAACGGTTAGCTGTAATATAAGTGATTTATCAAGAAAAAACACATATTCTGCTTGCAATTTCGATTTAAGTACGACCCGCGCCTAGATTCGAACGCACGATCTTTGGATTACGGCGCAAGCATCCTAACCACTACACTACCGCGGCGGCGTGGCGGCCGGCGGAAGGGAGGCTGCGGAGGCATGGGGGCTTTTTTACGCATTTTTGGAAAAACTAATGGGTTTAGTGAAAAACGCTTCTTAGATAATTCGAAGAAAAATGTCTCGGCTATCCGATGATGCACTTAGTTTTGTGCTAGCTTTAGCAGAGTTTGTTCTACAGCGCTTCAAAAATCGCCCATTTGCATAGGACTTAAACGGGACTCCAAGACTTGCCCCCAGATGACGTCACGAGCTGACGTCACGATCAGGTAGAATCGCCGGACGACCCTACCTGGTATATAGGGCCTTGATATTGCCAGTCACGCCACAATCGATCCCAGGGTTATATCAACATGGTTGTTCTATATATATATACCCTGGTGGTAATATCCGTAATATCCAAGATACCATATCCTTCCGGCTTCCGCACTCTTCGGGCAGCTACTTTCTGTCTGACGTCACTGGACCGATTTATGTGCTGTTGGACATATTTGACGATATGTATAAAGCAGCCTTGGAGCGCGACAAACATTTCACATTTGTTGTGATGCGAATCAGAATGGTGTGTGGGTGGTGTTGGGTTGGTGCGGTTGGTGTGTCGGATTGATTGGATCTGTCAGTTCGTTGGGCACGCGCAACGCGCTGGGGGCAAGTGAATTGATGTCAATTATGTATGACAACCTGTGGAGGGAGGTTATGATAGCTAAGTCTAAGTGCCAGTGTAAGTATGTAGGTATAAATTCTTAATAGCATTGGTATTGGTATCCTGACATATTCCTTGCTATTCTGAATCATATTTCAATTATTTCAATTCAGGGTATGTATGTATGTATGTATGTATGTATTGACGATCAAGAGCAATCCACAATCGGCGTGGCGATTACACTCCGAGTCCGAGCTGGTTGAAGATAACACAAGAAATACCTACACAAGAAAACGCACACACTTACGGATACGAAAATGCACGGTTTCACTGCAAATTGAGAAACAAATGGATTAGGGTGTTGGGTGCATGGGAAAATGAAATTGCCAGCATTGTCAGAGTCCAGCCTCAACATTGTCTACCTACTTACTCACTTTTAATTTGTTTTCAGATGCCCATTGAGCCATAGTTTCCATCTGTGCAGCTGAAGCACTAGGACAGGAGACTGGTAGCACCCTAAATTAGCCACCAGTGAAGACATGAAGAAGTTCAGCTTTAAGGAAATGCTGGATGGCCTGCTGGGTTCTACACCAGCCCCAGCCCAGCTGCAGCAGCAGTTTCCGGAGAAACTGAATGTCAAGGATTTCCAGGCCATGAATGTGAGTAAAATAGTTCAACTTCAGTGCTACCTACTATTGTTGGGATAGGAATCTGATCTCACCGGGACCCAAATAGTTGGGTGCTCATTATGCTCATTGCTCAAGCTCATTACTTGACTCAAAATAATGGCATCAAGAAATGGGTGTGATTGGTGCTGAGCCAAGTAAAATCATACATTCTATGTTTGTATTGCTGTTGTTATTCATCATGATTGCCTTGCTTGCAACCAAATGAGCAAAAAGTGTTCATATTTGTTATTGCTATAGAAAGCAATTTATTAGTCTAATTATATGATAATAGCGCTAAAAACCACTTTATTTTCCTTTAACTTTTTTGGGCACATTTCAGATTTTGTTGATCACAAATAGTAAGTGATTAGATAAGAAAAAAATCAAAATTAGAGTTCCAATGACCCAACTTGGATGGTGTTAATGCACAATGGCAGGCCTTTTACTAACATAGAGCTTTTAGCCCCACAGTTAGGTGCGCTACAATATTTCAATAATAATTCTTAATAATTCTTTCAATACCTAATCAACATTGAAGAATGTGTGGCAGCCATCATCAAGTTGATATGGTTTAATCATTGAACTAATGGTTACTTATGCAGTGCATTTTATGATTGTTTGGTGCACAGGAATATTGGATCATGGTTGTTTCTTCAGCTTTCAGCTGCATAGGTACTTCACATGACTAAAATAATCAAGGGCTCTATTTTTATAGTGTCATCTCTGCAGTGATGGGATCACACACTAGTGAACCAGAATTAATAGCTCATTTGGGTTTCTGTTGTCAAGTTCATGTACCTACACAGCTTTCAAATGTCATTTCTATCTGGCAAATCAGCGTGTAGTGCTCAGAGTCCTGGGAGATGAGGGCTGAATTACCCCTCCCTTTTTACGACAGGCAATGGTCAGTATCTAGGAACTCTATGGGTCACTGGTAGCCTGCTCCTCGCTCCGTTCTGGCTGTGTTTGCCGGGCTAACTCGCTCCTGCTGTCACCTTACCTCCTGTTTTAGTCTCGCATATCTTAACCCTCGCCTATGCTGACATTTTGCCAGCTGGGAACGCATGGGGGAGGGGTCTGTTGGACTCCCTAAAGTCCGCACCAAGAGACTCTTTCAGTCCCCACTCCACCCAACTGTTTGGCCCTGATCGAGGTAGAGCTTCGTGCAGAAAACGTGCGTGCTGCCCGTGACGAGAGGAAGTCCATGATACCCAGTGTTAAGTTCCTAGGTCATTTGTTGACCTTCCAGGTCAGGTCAATGACCCAAAAGTCGGAAAAGCGGTACTTGCTAGAACTTTTTAACCGCGCCCTGGAGGAGGGGGAAGGGGGTGAACATCCCATTGCCGTTTTTGGCACACCTGATCATACATCTTTTCCGCACATGTGAAATTTTCAGACTAAGGTCACTCAAGGTCAGGTCGCCAGGTCACGTCAAATGACCTCACTTAACCCGCGCCGGGCCGGTGCTCCGCGACTTCCGCGCCGGGCCGGGGGGGGGGGGGTCTGAACACCCCCCGTCTAACTCGGCTCCTGGGCCACGTAGCGACACGCAGTAAGCGGCATTCGAAAGAGCGTCAAAAATAAGGACGAACACACTTCGGTCATTTTTTAGGTCAGGTCAAAGGTCAGGTCGCCAGAGGTTATCAAATGTGGTCAAATGTAGTCCATTTCAACAATTTTGGAAACTGCCAACGTCTAACTCGGGAACGAATAGAGCTACAGCGCCGCGGAAAAGCTCATTCGATAGCCGTTTTACAGACTTTTCTGAGTAATGTTCTCAGATTTGACCTCAGGTCAACGGTTTAGCCTGCAGAGAACAAAAACGGTAAAAATAGCAGTTTTCACGAAAATGGGTTTTCGTCAATAACTTTTGACTCAAGAGAGCCGCGACATTACTTTTGGCAGCATCGTGTTCCTCTTGTCGAGACGCGTCGAATGAACTATTTGTTTACCTTGAAAGGTCATTTTGAAAATTTGACCTCAGGTCAAGGTCATGGCCTGACCGGAACAGGTCATGTTGCATATCACTTATCAGTTGATCCGTATTGTCGAGCTGAATACATCTGACGTGTTTTCATCGCGCTAGCACGTCTTTATCAAAAGTTACAGCCAAAAAACTTGTGACCGTTCATGACATGGGATGACCTCAGGGGCACACAGAGGAGTCACAGGTGCGTTTTTCCGATTCAGTGTGCCATGTTTACCTATGAAACGATGTTTGTGAGGGTTTTGAACATCATTCGTCCAAAAAGGGCGCATTTCAATTTTCTCCCATTGACTTATAGTGGATAGGTCGCAAAAGTGACCTGACCTTAGGTCACCGATATCAAAATTCCGAGATAAAATTTTGTACATACTGTTACTCTTATCAATCGCTGAAAGTTTCAAGGTGATCGTTCAGTCGGTGTAGCTATGACGAGGATTGAAACTTTTTCTGAGGCGAGGTCACTTGACCTGACCTGGTGACCTGACCTTGAGAGCCCTGGGTCTGAAATTTTCACAACATGTGTGGAAAAGATGCATGAACAGGTGTGCCAAAAACGGCGGCGCGGAGGCGAAAAACCGCCTGGGGGGGGGGGGGGTGTTCAAACACCCCCGGCCCGGCGCGGGTTAATAAAAAGTTTCAATGTGTGCCATAGCTACACCGGGGATCGATCGCTGTGAAACTTTCAGCGATTGATAAGAGAAACAGTTTGTACAAAATGTGTATCTCGGAATTCTGATATCGGTGACCTAAGCTCGGTTCAATTTTGCGACCTCTCCATTATAGGTCAGTGTGAGAGGATTAAAAAGCACCTCTTTTGGACGAACGTCATTCTTAACACTCCCAAACACCGAATACAAGCATGATTTATTCCCAAGAAACTTTCAGTTTTGACAGGATGAACAGCCAGAGTTTTGATATCGGTGACCCAGCTGATATCGATATCCAGGTCAATTTTGTGATGTCCCCATTAGAGGCCATCAGGTCCCCATTATTCCCCTAATTAGTCAAATGCAATTAAATGTAGGTGTGCCTTATTTGTACCGGCCCTTTCATTGACTTGGATGCATTACCCCAGCTTTCTTTGTACTCAATTTAGTGTCTCTAAAGGTCTCTAAGTAGTGCTATTTGCTGTACAATGTACATGATGTTTCCAAGTTGACTTTTAAGGTCATCTTTCCCGTAGGTATTTATTATTGCTAATTGCTGATTCACTTTTCTCGTCTTTCTGAGAGAATACGTATTACGAGAATGACATTGATCCGTGGTATGAGTTACCAACCGACCCGACCGCGGTCTCATTTTTCCGAACGCGGCCTATCGCATGACATGCCTTACATACTGCACTAACGAGCTCAGTCTCGTACCCAAATCCATCGACTCATGCTGCGCATTAGGAGCCACTGCACGTTTATCGTATTGCGCGCCCGATCTGCTGTATGCCGCAGTCCGCAGCCCCCCCCCTCCGTCAAGGCCACTGCGGGGCAGGACCTTGTATTTCTTATAAATGTCTTTTTCAAGCCATAGCTCAAATAGTAAAAAATTGAAATGTCCGGTGTAGTTGTGACTAGGCATGACTTGAACAATGTTCGAAATACATGTGAAGCAGATTCGAAGCAATAACTTTTGTAGTAAGTAGTTCCAACTGGTTATTTCACAGTAATAAACGTGTCCACTCGTAGGCTGCTCCGTACGGAGGCGTGTGATTATATCAGACATCGGATCGCAATCATCTGTGAGTCCTGCAGGACGGTATCACGGCCGTGATACCCAGTTTAGACGACCGTGGATTAGAGCCGAGACCGACCCAGCCCGATAGCGGGAGCGGAACCTAAGAGCTTGGGTCAACACTCGTGCTGTCGTAATGGTCCAGACTGCTCTGAATTTAAAATATTTTAAGTGTTAAAGGGAGATAATGACCTTTTTCCACAAAATCTGAGTTAGGACCATTTTCTGACAAAACACAACAAGTTATAATGTAAATTAAAACCATTTTGCTCAATTCGGTACCTTGCCGCAAATATCTCAACTTGAAGTCACGTTAGCGGGGAGCGCTGAAAATGACCGTTGAATAAGTAGGTACTTACATCACTTTTTGGTACTTGCATGTAATTTTGTAAAATGAGCGTATTCCTTACATTTGATCTTCATCACATCTAGTTAGTTAATGGTCGTCTATAGTGCCTTCAAAAGATATTCATGGTTTGGGGGTGGTTTATGTCTAAATTTACGCAACTATTTTTCCTGTTCATATCTGACGCCATATGCTGCTATTTTAGTAGCAACGACTCAATTTTGAATCGGTCCCGCCGACTGCACAATAAAAGAAGATAGATACAACACTTTTGCGGCATCACTGAAAAACTTATGCAGTACTGTTATCAAAATTCTCATAACACCGTTCGACAAACCTGAAGTCTTTTTGAAATAAATATGCTTGTACACCTTTTTGCACTCAAAATAGGCATCTTTTCATTCAATTTCGGCGAATTGCATTCAATTTTAGCGATCTCTCATTTGCTTCGAATAGAGAGATCGCTAAAATTGAATGCAATTCGCCGAAATTGAATGAAAAGATGCCTATTTTGAGTGCAAAAAGGTGTATTTTTCGCTTCAGGCTCTGACGCCAAAATAATGAATTTCGTAGTCGCAATCGCAAGATTTGGCTGCGTTTCTGGCGCATGCCGTTCATTTGTGGCGCAAAATAATACTTGGAAACAAAGAAGAGTAGGCACTATGTACCCCCGAATTAGAGTCTAATTAATTCTAAACCGAATTAACTCTAATTCAAATTAGAATCCTTACAACCAAGCAACGACAAGGCGATAACATAAACAAAAACCCAAGCGTCGCTGTTTGAAACAAAAGCGCCATATACTGCGACTTTTTTTATAGAGAAGGACAACGCATTTCGGTGGGTGTTACAAGTACTGCAAGTACTGCTTCTTTTTTGCAAAAATAAAAGCCTTTTTCACATACGAAAATGTGCTAGGAAATTTTCATATTT